CAAACCTAACTTAACCAAACCCTTTCCCTAGTTTAAACCCAATTTAAAACCAAAATTAACCTTTTTTTAACCAAACCAAACCAACCTAACCAACCAAAAACCTCCCCCAAAAACCTTTTAACCAAAACCAAACCCTTCCCAAACCAAAACCTGTTTAAAACCTAAAACAAAACCCCCCCCTTTAACCCTAACCAAACCTAACCAAAACCAAAACCCAAAAACCTAACCAAAACCTAACCCAAACCCTTTTCCCCTATTTAAACCTAATTTAACCTAACCAAACCTTCCTAACCTACCAACCAACCCCTAACCCTAACCTAAATCCCAAAATTTAACCCTAGCCTACCCTTAAAACCTTTAATTTTAACCAACCAAAACCTTTTTTTTTCCGAATTTAATCTGAAAAACCCTTTAACCAACCAAAAACCAAACCCAAAACCAAAACCCTTGCAAAACCTAGCTTAACCAAATTTTACCTAATTTAAAAAAACCCAAAACCTAACCAACCTAATTTAACCAAATTTTTAATTTTTGGGTTAAAACCCTAGTTTTTAACCTAATTTTAATAACCAAACCAAGCTTAACCTAATTTAAAACCTAATTTTAAACGTTTCCTAACCTTTTTTAACCTAATTTAACCAACCTCCCCCTTTAACCTAATTTAAAAAACCAAAATTTAATTAACCTAATTTTAAACCAAAAACCAAACCAAATTTTTAACCTAACCAACCAAACCCTAACAAACCCCAAACCCAAAACCCAAAAACCTAACCAAACCTAACCAAACCCAAAACCCAAACCCTAAGGAAAATCTAATTAACATAATTTCCCCTAACCAAAACCAAACCCCAAACCTAATTTAATTTAAACCAAACCAAAACCCTAAATTAACCCAACTTAACCTAACCAAAATTTAATTTTTAACCAACCAAACCAAACCCAAACCCAAAACCCTTTAACCTAAACCAAACCCAAACCCTAACCAAACCCTTTAACCAAACCCTAATCTAACCTAACCCTCCAAATTTTAAAAACCAACCTAACCTAACTTTACCAAAACCCAAAAACCTAACCAAACCCAACCTAAACCAAAACCTAACCTAACCAAATTTTAAAACCTAACCTAACCTAACCAAATTTTAAAACTAACCAAACCCTAACCTAACCAAAATTAAACCCCCAATTTTAACCAAAACCAAAATAACAAAAACCTAATAACCAAATTTTTAAACCTAACCTAACCAAACCCAAACCCCTAACCAAAACCTAATTTTAACCAAAGCCATAAAGAGTAACAATAAAGTGGGGGTATGGAGGGATAGCTGGCTTGATGGAGATGGGAGGCACATTTGGTATAGTTAAAATAGAGGGAAAACCTTTTATAGTAAGTTTAATGGGAAATTTTGGTATCCCTGTGGGATGAGAAATGTCTGAAATAGATAGAAAATAGTGAGGGGGAAACCCAAAAGGCTGGACAGGGATAGACGGGTTCGAGAGGGGGGGAAACGGTACAAGAGGTCAAAAGCTAGAATTTTAAAGAGCAGAGATGAGTTCCAGCATCAGCTGGGGAAAATTTGGGGGCAGTGTGAAAAGTAAACATTACCCCTGGTGCTAATGCTGAAAGTTAGTGTCTAAATTTTCTTTATGTGTTATATGAACTTACAATATTTTTTTGTTGTAAATTTTCTTAATTTTTTATATTTTTTTGTGGATTTTCGTCTTTTTTAAAATCTTAAAATCCCCTCTTTTAAAAATCGTTCCAGATAAAAAGAGGGGAGAGAGAGAGAAGAGAGAGGGGGAAAAAGAGAGAGAGGGGAGAGAGAGAGAGAGAGAGAGAGAGAGAGAGGAGAGGGGGAAGAGAGGGGAAAAGGGGGGGAGAGAGAGAGAGAGGTTAGGTTTCAGGAACTGGGGAAAAGGGGGGTGGTTTTCCCCGTTTCAAATACTGATCTAAAAATTACGTATTAAAATTTCCCGTTGAGTAAACAGTCACTGTCCCCCTGGTAGTTTTCCCCAAAGACAGTTTAGCCTCGTTAGTAGATGAAACTGCCCTAAAATATTTATCTACTTCCCCCTATTTAAGGGTTTTTTATATATTATATATTTTATATAATAATATTTTTATATATTTTCTATTTATATAAAATTTATATATATATTTTATATTTATATATATATAATAATATATTACTTCTTCTCCCCTTTTTTTTACTTTTCTAAACCCTTTACCGGGGTTTCAATATGGTTTTAAACATTAAATTATTAGTTCTTGGAGCCTTTTTTTTTATAAGGCCGTTAAAAATTTTTATTTTTTTTTTAATTTTTTTTTGATATACATTTACGGTTAATACCTAAAGGGGCTTTTTAAAAATTTTAAACCCGTTTTGTTTTAAAATATTTTTAAAATTTTTTTCTTCTGAATCTGTTAACTGGCAAGTGAAATTTTTTATTATATCAGTGTTGTTTTTTCGCCCCCCTGAGAAGGGGGATACGTTTCCCAAATCAAGGGTACCCGAGCTTTTCCTTTCCTATTTTTCTTATCCCAAATGTTAGTGTTGTACACTATTAATATAATGGGTAAATTTTTTTTCTTAGGTTTTCTCGGTCTCTTCTTTTCTCCCCTCTTCTCTCTCTCTCTCTTTTCCCCTTCTCTTTTCCCCTCTCTCCTCTCTCTCTCTCTTTTCCCCTCTTCTCTCTCTCCCCTTTTTTCTCCCCGCTCCTCCCCTTTTCCTCTCTCTCCTCCCCTCTCTCCCCTCTCCTCTCTCCTCTTTTCTCTTTCTTTTTTCCTCTCTCCTCCTCTCTCCTCTCCCCTTCTTCTCCCCCTCTCTCCCCCCCATTCCCCCCCTCTCTCTCTCCCTCTCCCCTTTTTTCTCTCTCCTCTCCCCCCTCTCTCTCACCCCCTTCTCTCCTTCCCCTCCCCTCTCTCCTCTCTCTCTTCCTCTCTCTCTTTTCCCCCTTTTTTCTCTTTCCCCCTCCCCCCCTTTCCCCTTTCTCTCCCCTCTCTCTCCTTTTTTTTCTTGTTCGAATTTTTTCCCAAAATTTTGATCATGCTTTTTTATTCATCGTGCGGTTTTGTTCACCCTTTTTTTTGAGGGCCCTCGGGCCCAGGTACACTCTGTTTTTCCCAAAAGATTTTTGGGTGGTAAAATTTTCATTTTGGGGTTGCGTTTTGTAATGTATTCTTTTCATGCCCAACTTTCATACTCTTGCGAGTGCTAGTCTCACACATAAATAAATGCGGGTTCCCATGCCTGTTTTTTGATTAATTTTATTTTTTTAAATTTCGGAAATATATTCCCGGTGATGTCCCCTTTTTGCTAAAAAGTAGTTGTAGTTGTTGTTGTAGTGTGAGTGTGAGTTTTTTAGTAGTAGTAATAGTATAGTAGTTGTAGTTAAAATAGTAGTGTAGTAATAGTGTAGTATAGTTTGTTTAGGGAGTAGTTTTATGGAGTAGTTTGTAATTAAATAGTAGTATTGTAGTAGTGATTAAATAGTAGTAGTAGTATTTAAAAGGGATTAAATATTAAAGAGTTGTAGTAGTAGTAGTTTAAAAGTTTTATAGTAGTAATAGTGTAGTTGTAGATATTATTTTTTATTTTTATTATTATTATTTTTATTATTAGGAGTATAGTGTATAATTGTAGTATAGTTTTCATTTTATTATTATTTTATTATTATTTTTTTTATTATTAGTAGTAGTAGAGTAGTAGTAGTTTTCCTTATTCTTAGTTTTTTTTATTATTATTATTTTTATTTTTTAATTTTATTATTAGTAGTAGTAGTGTAGTAGTAGTAGTAGTATAGTAAATAGTTGTAGTAATAGCAGTAGTAGTTGTAGTGTAGAGTTTGTATCTTATTCTTAGTTTTTTTTATTTATTAAATTTTTATTATTTTATTATTATTATTATTATTATATTTTGGGAGTAGTAGTAGTAATAGTAGTAGTTTTTGTAATTGCAGTGTAGTAGTATGTAAATAGTAGTTTGTAGTAAATGTAAATATGTGGTCTTTTTTTTTCCCTTTATGGGGGCAAAAATAGTTGGGGCTATCGTCACCATTACCCAGTTCCCATTAAACAAAGCCTCTCACGGGTTATTTCCCATTTTCCCCTTTAATTTGTTAGTATTTTTAGTGTTGTTGTGGCCGTCGGGGTATTGATTTTTTTCCCACCTTAACTGTGATATCTGATGTAAATTTTTGAGTGGGTAACAAAAAAAACACCAACCTTTTAAAGTAATATTTTTACTTTTGGCGTTGTGGGATGTTATAATTGCCCAAATTTTTGTGAACTGAACGACCCGCCTTCCCAACCCCAAATTTAACTTAATAGCAAAAATTGAGAAATCTGTTTAAAATCTGTTTTTAATTTTGAAAAAGACTTTAAAATATAATTTTATAATCTAACCCTTTCCCAAATTAACAAACCAACCTAATTTAAAAAACCCAAATAACCCGCTTTTATTAATACCAAAAAAATTTAGAAATCTGTTTTAAAAAAAGCTATTTATTTTGAAATAGACAAAAATAAAAATCTAATCATGCCTAACTTAACCTAACCTAAACGACTTTTACTAAGAGCAAATAATTGAGAAATCTGTTAAAATCTGCTATTTATTTAGAAACAGACGAAAATATAAACTAATCTGGCCTAACCTAACCTGTCCTATCATAACCAAAGTAAATAATCTTAGAAATTTGATGGAAACTGTATATAAGAAAACGTCGTAGGATCAACAAGGTTGGCTTGCACCACGGATCCTAGTGGGACGGTAACTGGGTGGATCCTTCGCATACTAAGCGAGGTAGGACCTAAGTAAGTTCCTTGCAGGACCCCGACGGTCCTTGGGATACCTACATGACCGTATTTTCTGTGTAAGTGGTCATGTGCGTGGTCGTCACGGTGTGTACACATGATACCCAGGCCAGACTCTGAGAGAATACGCGATCATGATAACTGGAAGAAGGGAGTTAAATATATTGTGAGGTTAGTCGTTAAGGAGCCTTTGATACAGGCGCTGTGTTCGTGTTTTTCCGTGTACGTGTACGTGCTCGTCACGGTGTGTGTGTGCCAGGGATCATGTCCACACAGCATACCCTTCGAAGCGCTCATGAATCACACACACCCACACACAAACATACACATACACAGAGCATAATTACTGAACGATTGTAGACACAAGGTGACCGAGGGAGCTTATACAGATATATATGTGTGTGTGTGTGTGTGTGTGTGTGTGTGTGTGTGTGTGTGTGTGTGTGTGTGTGTGTGTGTGTGTGTGTGTGTGTACATCATATCTGGGAGTATTTAAATCATGATACATATGATTATATTTTGTACATAATTATCAGTTGGGTCATTTAATACACTGCTGACGCTCGTAGAAACATAACTACCGCTTGTAAGACCGCAAACATCTCTTGTAGAAGCTACTACCTCTGTTAGAAACACATTTACCCCTTGTAGATACACTTCTAAATTCTTAATACACCACAACACACACACACACACACACACATATATATATTAAATATATATCTACATCTATCTATTTTCTCTCTCTCTGTCCCCTCTCTCTCTCTCTCTCCTCTTTTCCTCCCTCTCTCTCTCTCTCTCTCTCTCTCCCCTCTCTCTCTCTCTCCTCCCCTCTCTCTCTCTCTCTCTCTCTCTCTATTTTTATATATATATAAAATATATATATATTTTATATATAATATATATATATAATATATTATATATATATATATATAATATATATATTAACATACGCATCCAGCGTATGTCATTATATATAGTCATAATTGTTTAGCATTCAGATGCCTTACAGGAACCTATGCATTCAGATTCCGTATACAAATTGCTCATTTTACACATATATAGACTTAGTCATCACAATTTATAAAATCATTATTTTGTGTCGGCCGGTGATAAACATTACACAATTTCATGCTTATACGTTAATGCAATATTGATGTCTGTATTAATACTGTTGTTAAAGTGAGGTCTGGAAGCCTTCACTCAGTGTTGCGACGTTGTCAGGGCAGTCTTCAGAGACGGGAAGGTGCACTTATCTATGTGGGGTTGCAAGGGTCGAGTCGCAGTTCTTGGCCCCGTGAGTATGTGTGTGTTTGTGTGTACTCACCTATATATATACTCACCTATATGTGGTTGTAGGGGTCGATTCACAGTTCCTGGCCCCGCCTCTTCGCTGGTCGCTACTAGATCCATTCTTTCTCCTGGCTCCAAGTGTTGTGTATGGATCCTTCCTCTACTACATCACTCTCCACATTATTCCACTTTCTGACAACTCTAAGGCTGAAGAAATACTTCCTAACGTCCCTGTCAACTCATATGACCTTTCGAATTCCAGTTGTGCCCCCTTGTTCCTGTATCCCATCTCTGTATCATTCTGGCCCTGTTCACCTTGTCAATTCCTCTCAGTATTTTATACGTCGTTATCATGTAGTCTGTGTGTGTGTGTATGTTTGACTGCCTGTGTATATACGTGTATGTCCACCTGTTTGTGTGTATATTCACTCCATTCATTACATTTGCGTCTGTCTGTTTGTTTGTCTGTATGTATGCATGTATGTACTACGTACGTATGTATGTATGTATGTATTATGTATGTATGTATGTATTATGAAATGTATGTATGTATGTATGTATTGTGTATGTATGTATGTATGTATGTGTGTATGTATGTATGTATGTATGTATGTATGTATGTATGTATGTATGTATTATGTTGTATGTATGTTGTAGGGTATGTATGTGTGTATGTATTATGTATGTATGTGTGTATGTATTGTAATGTATGTATGTATGAATGTATTGTGTATGTATGTATGTATTATGTATGATGTATGTATGTATGTATGTAGTATGTGTTATTATGTATGATGTATGTATGTATGTATGTATTTTATGATTGTATGTATGTATGTATGTATGTATGTGTGTATGTATGTATGTAATGTATGTATTGTGTGTATGTATGTATGTATGTATGTATGTATGTATGTATGTATGTATGTATGTATGTATGTATGTATGTATGTATGTGTGTATGTATGTATGTATGTGTGTATGTATGTATGTATGTACTCACCATATATAAGGTTACAAGGGTAAAAAGTCTCAGGTGATAATAGTATCTGTCATCTGGTAGTTTCCGTGTCCGCTTCTTCCTGTCGTCTTGGACCCTGTCACACCCATTCCTAAAACTATGTTTATGTGTGTTTACGTACCACTTGATGTATTCATATATGCATGAATATATGTATATACACTGAGAGTTTACTGTAATTTCTTAATCATTCAGATATCCTTGTTGGTTAGTAACTAGATGAAACGGGGATGGAATGAGCGACTTGCTATTGCAAGATTCACAAAACTAACAAACTAAGTAGACGTGCAACCCGACATCAATTCTTTTAATAAGCAACTTGTTCGCACTAGTTGAACGATGATGGTTGTAGTGTTGCAAGGAGGTCGTGCTTCTTGTTATTCCAGCTGTGTGCAGCGTGCTAGTACATGGTTGTTGCAACATGGAAGTTCAACCTGCACTCTGCAATGGTAGGAGCTGGTGGGGGTTGGGGGTTGTGGGGAGAGAGGAGGAGGAGGAGGAAGAAGAGGAGGAGGTGGAGAAAGAGGGCAATTATCAAATGGAAGAGAATAAATAGAAAGACGAAGAGGATAAGTTAGTTGTGGCGTTAGTGAAATTTGTGTTAGTAGTGATAGTAGTGGGGGTTGGTAGTTGTGGTGGTGTTGGGAGTTGTGGTGGTGTTGGTAGTTGTGGTGGTGTTGGTAGTTGTGGTGGTGTTCGTGGGTTTTGGTGGTGTTGGTAGTTGTGGTGGTGTTGGTTGTGTGGTGGGTTGGTAGTTGTGGTGGTGTTGGTAGTTGTGGTGGTGTTGGTAGTTGGGGGGGTGGGGTTTGGGTGTTGGTGGTGTTGGTAGTTTGGTGGTGTTGGTAGTTGTGGTGGTGTTGGTAGTTGTGGTGGTGTTGGTAGTTGTGGGTGGTGGGGGTTGTGTGGTGGTTTGGAGTTGGGTGGTGTTGGTAGTTGTGGTGGTGTTGGTAGTTGGGGTGTGTTGTATTTGGTGGTGTTGGTAGTTGGTGGTGGTGTTGGTTGTTGTGGTGTTGGGTTTGTTGGGGGTGGTGTTGGTGTTGTGGTGTTGGTAGTTGGTGGTGGGGGTTTGGTAGTTGTGTGGTGTTGGTAGTTTTTGGGGGTTGGGTTGGGGGGTTGGTAGTTGGTGGTGTTGGTAGTTGTGGTGGTGTTGGTATTGGGGGTTTGTTGGAGTTGGGTGGTGTTGGTAGTTGTGGTGGTTGTGGTAGTGGGGGTGTTGGTAGTTGGGTGGTTTGGTGTTGTGTGGGTGTTGGTAGTTGTGGTGGTTTGGTATTGTGGTGTGGAGTTGGGTGGTGGGAGTGTGGTGTTGTAGTTGGGGGGGTGTGGATTGTGGGGTTTGTGGGTTGGTGGGTTTGGTTTTGGGTGTGTTGGTAGGGGTGGTTTGGTAGTTGTGGGGTGTTGGTGTTGTGTGGTGTTGGAGTTGTGGTTGTGTTTGGTGTGTGGTTTGTGTGTTGGTGTGTGGTGTTGGTTGTGTTTATTGTGGGGTTGGTGTTGGTGGTTTGGTATTGTGGGGTGTTGGTAGTTGGGTGGTGTTGGTGTGGTTTGTAGTTGTGGGTTTGGTAGTTGGGTGGTGTTGGTATTGTGTGGTGTTGGTAGTTGTGGTGTTGGGTAGTTGTGGTGGTGTTGGTAGTTGTGGTGGTGTTTGTACGTTGGGTTGGTATTTTGGTGTTTTAGTTTGGGGGTTTTGGAGTTGGGTGGTGTGTATGTGGTGGTGGTAGTTGTGGTGGTTTGGTATTTTTGGGTGTTGGTGGGGTGTGTGTTGGTAGTTGTGGTGGTGTTGGTAGTTTGTGGTTTTGGTAGTGTGGTGGTGTTGAGTTGTGTGGGGGTTGTATTGTGGTGTGTTGGTTGTTTGGTGGGTTGGGTTAGTTGGGGGTGTGGTAGTTGTGTGTTTTTTGTGGGGTTGGTAGTTGGGGGTTGGTGTGGTGGTTTTGTAGTGTGGTGGTGTTTGGTTAGTGTTGGTGTTGAGTTGTGGTGTGTTGTAGTGGGTTGGTGTTGTAGTGTGGGTGGTGTGGAGTAGGGGGCTATTATCAATGGGGTTGAAGACGAAGGGATGTTAGTTGTGGGTTGTGTATTGTGTTAGTTAGTGATATGTGGGTGTTGGTTAGTTGTGGTGGTGTTGGTTAGTTGTGGTGGTGTTGGTAGTTGTGGTGGTGTTGGTAGTGTGTGGTTGTTGGTGGTGGTGGTAGTGGTTGTTTGGTGGTGTTGTGGTTTAGTGGTTGGTGTTGGTAGCTGTGGTGGTGTTGGTAGTTGTGGTGGTGTTGGTAGTTGTGGTGGTGTTGGTAGTTGTGGTGGTGTTGGTAGTTTGTGGTGTTGTATGTGTGGTTTTGGTTAGTTTGTGGTGGTGTTGTAGTTGTGGTGGTGTTGGTAGTTGTGGTGGTGTGGGTTTAGGTTGTGTGGTGTTGTGGTGTGTTGGTAGGTGTTTTGGTAGTTGTGTGGTGTTGGAGTTGTGGTGGTGTTGGTAGTTGTTGGTGGTAGTTGTGGTTGTGTGGTGGTGTTGGTAGTGTTGGTGGTGTTGGTAGTTGTGGTGGTGTTGGTAATCTGGGTGGTTGGTAGTGGTGGTGTTGGTAGTTGGGTTGGGTTGGTAGTTTGGGTGTGGTAGTTGTGGTGGTGTTGGTAGTTGTGGTGGTGTTGGTAGTTGTGGTTGTGTTGGTAGTTGTGGGTGGTAGTGTGGTGGTGGTTGTGGTGGTGTGTTGGTTGTTGGTGATTTGTGTTGTGTAGTTGTGGGTGTTGGTAGTTGTGGTTGGTGTTTGGTAGTTGTATGGTGGTGTTGGTAGTTGTGTTGGTGTTGGTAGTGTGGTGGTGTTGGTAGTTGTGGTGGTGTTGGTAGCTGTGGTGGGTTGGTAGCTGTGGTGGTGTTGGTAGCTGTGGTGGGTTGGTAGTGTGGTGGTGTTGGTAGTGTGGTGGTGTTGGT